AATAATTTAATAGGGATTAAAAAAATATAAAATAAAAGGATAAAAGGATGAAGAACATAAGAAAGAAAAGATAAAAACATAAAAGATAATAAAGATGAAAAAAGATCAATTCTCCACAAAATATTATCTCTCCACTTTGCTGTCTCCGAAGTCATACATTCATTCAACCCAAGAAAAAAAAAATATCATCGCTGACTCCTCTAATCCACTTTGTATGAGTATCTCATGTTGGGTGTGTTTCGGAAAATACAGAAAGTTAATTAAAATAAATTAATTAAATAAAATGACAAGAGAAAAACAAGAAAGGAGATGAAGCAGAATTAGTCAAAGCTCGTGCAACGCACGATTTCCTTAAAACGTATTTGTTGTCTCCCACGGTGCTAGGAGCGTTGCAACAATAGTTTCCCAGGATACGATGAGTACGAACTGATGTTTGAGCACACAAACAAGAGTTCCAGCGAACCTGAACAAAGACTGAACACTCAGGAATTTTCAGAATGACTGGAGGTGTTTTTAGCTGAAGAAAGACGTGAGCTCGTGTATGCAAGAACGTGTAAAACCGTGTGTTGTTGCAAACCACTTGCCAGCCTTTATATAGGAGGATTTGTTGTGTGCAATGGTGAATTAATGGACCTGAACGTTGGACATCAATGACCAGTCCGTTGGGCATTGAATCGTCCATGAATTGTCCATTTAACACTGCATTAAAAGATAAGAACGTTGGGCATTTAAAACAAAAATTATCCGTATCTCTTGAGAGATGTATTTTTGGACGACATTCGTGTCCGCAGGTCGCGGTTTTTCTTCTCTGAATTCGGGATTTGATTTGCACCCCCCCTGCGCGCGTGGGGAGAGCCTTTACCCTTAGGAATCTTAACTCCTTAAGGGCGGAGTCCCTTTATAAAGGGTTGCAAATCCTTTGGGTTTTCCGGTGTGGGAAATTAGCACACTAGAAACTCATCCCTTTTCCCTTCTAACGGGTAAACTTCGAAAACCAATTTCTCATTCACCAGTTATCCGTTTTGAGCGTACCATATATCGAATTGTAGACCTAAGCAAGGACAATCCGAAACCACTTTGGCCCGACCCAAATCGGAAGTGGACCCCACTCAAAAAAATTTCCCCAAAATAGTCATTTAATGCAATTTTTCACACATTTTTCCAACATCTCATTCCTAAAACGGTCTTTTCTAGTATGTTCGTACATCCAACGCTACATGCACATTTCATCCCCACTCGTTTGAATGTGATATTGTTTCACCGTCCAACACTCTACGATTTGGTTTTAAAAAACGTGAGGCGGCATGATGCGTTTAGATCAATTGACCCGAGGCGCGACACGTGCGCCTCACAGAACTTAACTATATAACTTCGGTAAATTATATTTATACTACTTGTACATGTCTTCCCAAAAATGATAAAACCACAAAAATACCTCAAGCCATTAAACATGCTTAATAAACACCAAAATGGGTCACAAGATAAACGAAGTATTTGTTCAAACAGTAGCAAGAAACGTGTGAAATTCCTATTCATAATGTAATTAGAAAGAAAAGTAGCAAACTCACAAGCAAAGTAGTGAAATCATGGGCCTAAATTCATCATTGTCATCAACCTCATTCTCAAGAGTAACTTTTTAATAAAATGTAGTATGAGAAATTGTTAAAAGTAATTTTTAAACAACTAATATTGATTTTTATAAAAGTAATAAAATTTAATAAACTGGTATATAATCAATTGTTAATAATTATAAATTGTAATATATAACTGTTATATAATAAACTAAAAAATAATCAATGGATGATGTTAATTTTAATAATTTGTTGCATAATAAACTTCTAAAGTCCATATTTACGTATAAATGTATCGATGCACTCAATAAATACAGATTTGAAGTAACATAGAAGAATCTCAGAATGATAGACAATGAAATAATAGTAAGAAACTTCTCTTCTCTCTCTCACTAGAATAGAATAATGTATGCGCAGGTGAATATCTAAAAGAGGCTGCTCATTCCCTTTAAGACAATATTCATATGCCTAGGGAATGAGTTGATGTGACCTAAGTATGATTGAGCTTCATTATGGAGGTGGACCAATTGCACACTTTACAACATTTCCTAATAATGCTCTATTAAATACATTCAAGAGACAATACAAAAATACATTGATTACAATAAAATACTCCGTATGTTCCAACAATCACCCCCTTTGTGATAAAGTGTGCTTTAGCTCTTATTCATCTCTGTCTCTTGAAGTATGACTTCCTCAGTGCATTTCGGTCATATTACCAAAATTCTTGAGCTTCACTACTCCTTTAAGAAATTTCTCTTGATCAACTTGAATGAAGTATGATGGCGCCTTCAGAATGAATATTCTGATGAGTTTCAGACGCACACGGGATTCATTTTTAGAATTTGATTATTCGGCCTTTGTCTCTTTCAAATATAGATGGCAATTCTGACCGATCCGATGGATACCTGCACCGAACCGCCCCGGTCAAAATGGGGAAAACCGCATTGACCGGGTAACGGGTATGGGGCGGGGAATACCCGTTTTGTTTTTAGGGTAACGGGGCGGTTATGGTTTTATACATGCCCGCCCCATTACCCGCCCCGTACCCGCCCCATTTATTTTTAATTATATTTTTATTACATTCTTATCTATTATTTGTCCCACAACTAATAAAAGATGATATTTTTCTATTTTCATTGTGTATATATGAATAAAAGATTTACTAACTATAGTGTATGAATGAAAGTTTATAATAGATCTTAATAGTCTTGTGTTTGATTATTTTCAGATTTTTCGTGATTAATTATTTTTAAAGTGGCGTCTCGGTCTAGAGTCGTCTAAGTTATGCAATTTTCTCCTTTTAAAATATTATTTTTATATTAAAATATAAAGGACTCATTTAATAAAGCGATTACCCGTGGTTACCCGTGGTTATACCCGTTACCCATTGGGGCGGTTATGGTTTGGATAAAAATTACCCGTTGGGTAATGGGGCGGTTATGGGGCGGGGAAATTACCAAACGGGGCGGGTACGGTTATATGTAAAACCGTCACCGATCCGCCCCGTTGTCATCCCAACTTTCAATGTGTAGTCTTTTTTACTATTTCATGTGGATGATTTTGAGGAGAACATGTCGGTGGCACAGTGAAAAATGGTGGTTGACTTGTGAGGTAGCTGACCATTTGATGTGAAGTTGACTTGACAGATTGATGACTTGTGAGTAATGGTGGTTGACTTGTGAGGTAGCCGTCGATTTTTGTGTTGGGGGAAAGAAGTGCCCGAGAATGATTTGTTGAGAGTAAACAGCATGTGGTCCACTCTCCCCCTCATAACGATCTGATGAATCGGGACGTCGTGCCTTTATTCTTTTATTCTAGGTACAAAATTGAAAAACAAACAGAATGATAAAAGTCTGTGGGCCGGGGGCCCAGGAACCCCCGGCCCACAGACTCTTACTTCTCCTACACAGGCCCATTGAGCCCACGGATCGTCCGAGGCCCAAATATAGTGGCCCAAGTTCAAGGAAGCCCAAAATACACACTGGGGTGCCTTCGGCCACCTTGGCCGAAGGCTCCAAAACTCACAGGACAGCCGTTTCTGGGCATACGAAGCTACTTGGAGAAAACGGCAGAAAACAGGAGCCTTCGGCACTGTGGAGCCCTCGGCATGAACCAAGCCTTCGGCTACACAGAGCCCTCGGCCACACGAAGCCGTCGGCTACGTGAGGAGCCTTCGGTTGAACAGACTCAATCATCGAAGATTCCCTTTGGAGACAGCCAACCACCGCATTTAATGTGACGTCACATCCACCCACCGCATTCAATGCGGTGAACATGCCACTGCCGGTGCCACCCCGATTGAGGTGACCCCTCGGCCGTTGGATTACTGACACGTGTACTCTCATCGCATTTATTGCTGCTATAAATAGCTGCCCTTATTCCTCTTGTAAAGGATCCCAACACACGCTGAGTTCATTTAATATAATCGACTCTCTCTCCTCCTATTTACTCTGACTTCTCTCTAGTTATTCCCGCAATAACCCCTCGGATAAGATACCCCCGGGTAGACTATCCATCACGGAGATACCATGGTGTTCCACTATCACAACATCAATTTAAAAAACTGATGTGTGACCTGCATAAAATGATAGAAGCTTTTAAGCTCAGACATGACTTCTGACCCATCATTGTGAAGCATCTAAAGTAGATGTCACTATGGTCGTTTTGGCATGATCAGAGGGATAGATCATCAAAGATAACTTGTAGCCCCACTGGGTCATGTAGCTATCATGAGGAAATCCTGAAAAAGCCCTCATTGAGAAGAGATGTGATCGAGAAAGTGAAGAGAAGGCGAGGAATTTCGGAGAAGGGAAATTTATTGAACGTAGAAGTTAAATTACGTTAATCCCATTCATCTCATTCAAATTAACTATTGTAATAATTGTCAGATCAGACCATCATATTATGAAAAGGAATAATAATATTTGAAAGATCGAGTTAGTGAATTCTATTGAACGGAGAAGTTAAATTATGTTAATCCCATTCATCTCATTCAAATTAACTCTTGTAACAATTCTCAGATCATCATATTATAAAAAGGAATAATGTTTGAAAGTTGAATTATAGGGTATCATCTAATGATTAAAATTAATACTACATTCTATACACTAATAAAAATAGGTGACAACTCCGGTACCCATTTAAAAAATGGGGGTACCGTACTCACCATCCTCATGATTGGTCCAAATCATTATATCATTTTTTATTTGGATTAAATAATTCAACTGCATCACTCTGATTGATTTGTGTGAACAAATGTATGGTACATTAAGGGTACCATAAAAATATCACGGTTGTTAATTAGTTTTCGACAAGTGTCAAAATGGATTTGATGTGAATTTGGTTGTGTGCGTGGCTTGATCTTAAAAGAAAAATGGATTAAACATCGACTATATATAACAAAAATTAGGTACTACGAACGTATTTCAACGAGCTAATTAAGCTTTCACAATAGATAAAGGAATTCCATACTCAAAAACTAATCGAACAAATAATAATCTTCTGAATTCAAACCACAAAAACAATCGAGCAAATTAAACTAGAAGTCGGTCTAGATCCTAAATCCTTCCTATACACAATCATCCAGAAAGGTACAAGGTTTAATTTGACAAAGCTAGATACCAAACATACACCATCAAAACGTACTCAAAACTCAAAAGTCACACTCCTACACATTAATTAATTACTTAATCAATAATTAACTCTAGTACTTAGTAGAGCTAGGGTCCGAAAAGGAACCAGAAATGTGAAGAAAATTACCAACATGCCCTTATGCAATAACATCAAAAGAGCAATTCAATAGGGGTAGGTTAGTAATTTTCCCTCATTCCAATCCCAGGACGGTGCCCCACCAGAAAATTAGCGTCTTGCGCTCACACTGGGCCGTTGACTAAAATGACGAAGTCAATACCCGAACCATCACCCTTGCAGCTTGGTGAACTGAACTGAAGTGAACTTCAATTCATTCTTCAACCACACAACAAGTTACCTATGTAAGGACTACAAAACATACATTATTATGATATGTATATGCGGTGCGTTCTTGACTTCTTCATTCTCTTTTAATAACGTAGGATCAGATCGGATCAGAAAGATTGATCTCAGAGTTTAATTTATTTGAGATCATGCAGTTTCGGATGCCACAGCCCCTTTGATCCTTTCAACCGTGCACTTGATGAGACTGTTCACGGTTGCAACTGACCCAAGAGAGAGTTTCGCGGTCGGGACCGAGTCAACCAATATCTGGAACGCAACGGTGAGAAGCGATCCGCCCGGACCCACCTCGGGGTTCGTGACCTCGAGGCCCGACGGTCCATCGGGTAAAATGGCAAAACCGGAAGGAAGGAGGGCAACATAGTCAGGGTCTCCACCACTCAAAACAACATTCATGGCCACAATGTCAACCGGAGCATATATTACATAGGACCCGGACGAGTCAATGCAACTCTCTTGGAGAATCAACATGTTACTCTGGCTTGAGTTAGCACTCTGTGGATCATTAATAAGAGATGTAATTAAACAAACATTAATATGAGTATTGCTTGGTGTACACAACTTTTGTACACATTTTGTGTACACCTTTCACAATCTTCTTTCTACAGGGAAGCTTTTAAACGAATTGTCTATCTAGACAGATAACAAGGGTGGTGTACACAAAATATGTACGAAAAGTGTGTACCAACAACTTTTTCCTATAATGTTGTGTCATGGTTAGAATATTTAAAAGGTCATATTTTATGTATGAATATAAAACTTTATTTGTCATATATCATATCATTATTGGAAATTAATAAATAATTACGCAGTAATTGTGATTGACTTACGTTGACTCGTAAAAGAGAGACACAATTTCCCGGATCGCGACCATTTGCGATATGCGCCATTTCTTGAACAAGCCCACCATTGGAGAGAATATCCCACTGCATATAGACCGCGGTAAAATGATAATTATCTTAATTAAGAAAATAAATTTTTAAAAAAAGGGGGAAATGTTAATGCCGTTATCACCTCGTTTCTGGAGTTTTCGTCACGAAGAAAGTCAAAGACTCTCTTTGGCGGAACGGGGAGCCAGAAAGAAGTTGCAGCGCTTAGAACAATGCCGGGCGGCCTGCCCGGGTCATCTATACTCTTTCGGGTCATGACCCTGACGTCATCCACCCCGCTGCCGGACAACGTTGTCCACGTATGCGCCGTCGAGGCCCCAACGCCGGCGCAAAAGCTCATCACCATTCTCTCCGCCAGCTTGAGCATGCTCTTCCTGCCCTCTGGACTCGTTATCACTGCATGCCAACATCATTCATAAATCAACACTTTTTGTTTAGATTTTGCTAAATATAAAAACCAAAACATAAGCAAAATTCTGTATTTTATTTTATTAATAAGAGTTAATTAGTTCTAGTAAAAGAATAAGTTGATTAAAACTTTTCAAAATAGGAATGAATGAATAATATTTAAGAAAGATGGCTTCCCTTGAATTTTAACAACGCCTCATTTTGTATTTGTTGTTGCTTGATAGTCCATTGACTCAAAAATATTTAATACCATATAACATGTAGTACTCCGTATATTTTTTGCGATGAAACAATTACACATTGATGCCTCCAAATTTGGTTCAAAACACGGTGTGATGAAGAATATTTAGTACTCCGTATCTATTAGAAAATTTGGAAGACGATTAAAGTATTTTACGCTATCATACAAAAATAAACAAATTTTGGGGGTCCAAAAAATATACTCCGTACAAAGTAATAATTATTAAAAGTAAAAAATTGGGAGGAGCCAAGACCATAATGTTAGATTATTGGACTTATACTACATATAATATTCACAATATATTATTTATTGGGTTAATTGTATGTTATATGTTATCTTATATTTAGCCCAAAAAATTAGTGGTCCTATGGATATTAATTTAAGTGGACTAATAAGTTATTTAACAAGGTATAGGGCCCAATTGTGTAGAAACCCATAGGCTTAACCTAATTAATGATGGGCTGATTAGGGTTAAGCATTCTCTATAAATAGAGGGGTTATGGTCCCTAGTTGCACACGTCATTAGAGACATAATTTCCGAGGGTGTGTATCAACTAGAAGACGCAAACCCTAGCCTCCATCTCCCAGATCTCTAAAGATCATCTCCAATGGAGTCAGGTACGCTTGTGCTCAGTTAGATCTCTAGATAATTCCAATATGAAGATTAAAGTATTATGGGATTTATTCATTATCCAGTATCCAATCAATTAAAATTTAATCAACGTATAGCATTCATTATATATGGTGCATTTCAATGAAGACAGTACGTACGTCCAACAGTACCATTGAGACGAAAATTTAAAATGATTTATTAAAACGATACGTTTTTTTATGATTCATGATGTTACAAACGAAAACGCCGATAGTTCAATGCTATGAATTTAACATCAAAATTCATTCTCATTTCTCAAAATTGTTGATATTTGGGTTTATATGTGTGTTTATTTAGGTGATGAATTTATAATTTGATACATACCTCCAACTTCACCGGCTTGAATGTTGCTAGCCATAGCGCTGGCAAGCCGTTCACATTGTCGGTCCAATGTGGAAACCCAACGTTTCGCCCCGAAAGCGAGGCCCGAATTGACTAGCGGCTTGTATATGCTGTGAACGGCTCTATCATCCACTTCCACATGTTCAATCCATGTTACCTACCCACATTAATTAATCCGCCCTCATTATTATTAATTAATAAATTAAATGGCCTCATAAATAAATCCAAGCGTGGTTCGTATTACTCATTATTGTGCCCCATTAATGGGTCATATTCGATTTTACTGATCTAACATTTCAAATTTGAGTAATTATTATACTATGTATAGTTTTACATTATAAAACCATTTCTAATTTAGGAAAACATGCAAATATTTTTTGTTAATGTTATATGTTCTCATTAAATAACGGAATTTATAACTTTTCATGACTGTCTAAAACAAACACTCCTGATCAAAATCGTGTTTTTGTAGACCAATCTTTCTATTCTTATTGACGCTATAACCATAGATTTATTTCATTTTATTCAAGATAGAAAATACGAGAAAATACGCTAGACTTAATTTAATCCCCACATTTGTTCTACATTATTCAATCTAGTCTCTATCTTTTAATTTTCACAAATATTTTTAGCCTCAATATGTAGTTAATGCGCGTAGTCTGTGTCCTTATGATATAGCAAACTCCTTCGAAAAAAGCCCTTTATTATGGAATATATAAAACGTTATAAATTTGTTTTGATTTATATTTTCAAAAAGAAATATGAATAAAATATCTCCAAAAGTTTGTATTTTCTATGAGTTAATATATATTTAATAAATAATATAATGGTTAACGTCTTGCACTAAGAAATATGAAAGTCATAATTTAAAAACTTGTCTTCGATGGGGGTATCCATTAAAATCCGGGGTCAAAGTTCAATATCTATTCTGGATCACAATAAAAGTCAAACACCGATTCAATGTGACAAAAAAACGAAAACATGACGCATTAAATGAGTTATTAAATGGGACAGGTGAACATAAGTCAAACTTTAACATAAAACTTAATAATTACCTTAGAGTAACCATTAGGTAATTCTTGTATCAAACAGCCGGATGGCCTTCTTCTACTTCTTGCGATGGAAGAAGGGCGCAAAGTGTCCAAAGAAACATCAACCACTGCCCAAGTGCTATCACCGTGTTGCTTGCAATATCTCAGAAAGTAATTCTCTCGGGTTGGAACAAACGGTGAAGGGACTTGAAACTCAGCACTCATCTACGTACATGTAGTTATAATAATGTATATATGTACATTTAACTACTAATTAATTTGCACCCAAATTTGATTGAATGTTTTAGAGCCTGTTCCGTAACACAAAATTGATTAAATCGGTTGATTATGTTAAAATATATTTATAAAGTTCTGGATGAGGTAACTTGATTGGAAAATTATGCGGAATTAAGAACAAATTATATGTAGTATTTAAAATATATTTTATTAGTAAAATAAAGAAACAAAATATGAAAAATAGCTAAAATGGTTGTCAATAGTAACTTCAGCCAATGCAACCAGAAAAATAAATCCTATTTTATTTATTTTGATTCTTGCATAGTTCTGCGCGTAAAATCAAAAGTTACGTATTGCAATTATGCAAATGTTGATTACCGTTTGTAGTGCACCGTTGTAATTTCCGGCTATACCGGTGGATAAGACCTCCAACGTTAGGGCTCTTGAAACAATGCCGGCAAACACGCAAGACCATTGGTTCTGGAACCAAGCACAAAACACATAAGACAAGTGAAAAGTCAACTTAGTCAACCACTTTTAGTTTAATGGCGTGACAAATACTTTTCAAAAAGTAGGTTGTACTCGAATCAGTGTTGACTGCATTAGTAAACACATATAATTAGTAATTAGATAAGAGTATGTTTACAAAGAATTGCGTATACACCCACATTTTTAATTGTATATTGGCTTCTGATGACATTTGTTAAAACTGTCAACATTGTTTTATAGAACAATCACCAAAATAATTAGTTTAATATACTATCGTATTGAGTGTGAATTACCAAAAAGAAATTAATTTAAGGGAGATTTCATGATTTATTCTTGACCAAAAGACTTGAATTTATGTTGTAAAAAGCATTAGGTGATAAATAAACTTAAGAAGCAAGGGAGTTCATACCACATCCATGAGAATCTCCACAAGGTTTATGTGATTCATAATCACAACAGCTGATTCTCTTGAAGCCTCAGATTTAAACCCTGGTGGTTTAGGTCCAATTCCTCTAGGAAAGGTCCGAACATATTCATCCTCACTTAGAATCTCAGTTGAGTTGTCAGCGCCTAGAACCCAAAGAGGTTCCCCCACTTGAGCCATTCTGATCAGCTCCTCCATGGCAGCCACCGCTAGCTCAATGATCATTGGCTTTTCGATATCAGACGGCCCAGAAACCGACCTTAAAAGATCACTTGCAGTGTATAAATCCCCTTGAACGGCTAATGATTGAGGACCGAAACCTCCTACTCCCAGATCAAGTGGGCGAGACGGCCCGAGGGAAGGTGCATTGGAATACGAGAGCATCGGCTTGCCAACATACTTTGCAGCAATGGCCGATATCTTGTCAATCTTAAAAAGAGTCACCATACAAAAAAATAGTTAGGAACAAATTGTAATGTTGGCCCCTTGGAAAATTCTCTCATCTTTCATCTTTAAAATTGATAGTTGTTCTTAATCAGTGAAATACATCATCTATATGTGCAATTACCTCCTCTCTAAGACGAACATTTTCGATCCTCAAATGTTGCTCCTCAAAGGACATTTCTCCAATAGAAGCCGGGCCTCCACAGTTAGGGCAAGTAGCGTTACTTAGGGCGTCCTTATAGCGTATATTTTCGGCCCGAAGCTTCTCGTTCTCTGCCCTCAATGAACCATTGTCTTGGCGTTCTTGTTGAGCCTGAAAGTATATATAGTATGAACTAGCTCAATTACTATTATTACTCTAAATACATTTTAGTATCATACCAAAACTGTTCAATACAATAAGGTCATCAAGAATGACCAAACCTTCATTTGAGTGCGTTTGTTCTGGAACCAAAATTTGATTTGCAATGGCTCAAGGCCTAGTCTACGTCCCAATTCCTTCCTTTGTTTGTCATCCGGGTGTGGGCATTCTTTGAAAAACCTGTCACATTAAAACAAAAATGTGACTTGATATATGAATGTGGGAGTTGAACTCATATTCTTGGCATTTAATTCCTCCCACCCCTCCCCTCCCGATCGAGTACATACCATACTTCGTTCCAAGTGGGATATACCGAGTGTGTTTACGATAGTTATAATGTGTGCATATAAGACTTAATTTCTTACGATTCCATTTCGGTGATTTGATGTTGAGTATGGCGATGATAACGCTTCTTCTTGTTTGGGGGCTGATTGGGATCTTGATCATCTCCGGATGGTGCTTCCATAACATCCGTTCCCGATTTGCTCTCGAATTCATCGTCTCTAAGTATGTCTAGCTCATTCTCTTGCACTTTTTGCCCCACATCCAGCAAATGTGGATGCCCATCAAACATATTTGGATGAAACATCTTTACTCAACAGTCAACACTTTGAGATTGTTACTTCTCAATCTGCAGAAGTGGAAATCAGTGTAATAAATAAACACAAAGTGTTGCAACTTGCAATTAAAACATCTGGACCAAAAATGTACTCATACATATGTTTCTATCAGAGCAATGGTGTGTCAAACTTTTAATCACACTTATAATTACTACGTATATTTTAAGTCCCGGGGTGGGACAAATACTTCAACATTGAGACTTGCAGATTGGAATTTAGTTTTCACCATGCAAACATGCACGCATTGCTAAGCTGCTCAGTCATTCCCTTTTAGTTTAATCTATAAGCGAAGATCTAGATCAGAAAGGTAAACTTCAACAACTATAACAAGATAGAAAGTAAATGAGAAAAGGAAACCCCTTGATTTACCACAATCAGCTTAATTTAATGGTTACGCTTACTATAGTTCGATTGTATTGACAAACTTATGAGGCATATTCAAATCCAAGCTCGGCTTTTGAAAATGAACGAGTTACTTTACTGCCGTTTCCTTCTAGCAAACCCTAAGGAGGGTTTCCAATCTCAAGAAGAAGAAAAGAAGAAACACATTTGTTTTCACCAAGGTTATTATTGATATGGTTAAAAGCAGTATTTTTTCTTTGCCAGTATCTGAGAGTAAAAGCAAAAGAATGTAAAAAAAATTTGTAGAACTTAGAATGTGTGCGAAGAGCTCATAGCTGTAAAATCTACAGTGTGAACGCAACCAACTGGTCGTAATTAATTGTAGTCCATTTTCTTTTATTTTCGATAATAATTGAACGATGTTACATTTTCTCCTATCATAACGCGCACGAATATCTCGGTCGAACCATAAAAACTTTGACCCTTTTTTAACCTTTTCCTTCTTAAATAGAAACAAATAATATTATAACGTAAGCCAAAAAGTCAAAATGGAAGCTTACCACTATTACTTCCTCTTCCAAGAACAGTCATTTCATGAGGGTTTCCGGAGATGTGCTACGCTGGATCTGGTTTCCCGGTAAAAGGGTCACCGGAAAAGTAGTTGCTGAACGGCGCTATGCGGCGGTGGAGTGGTGTCTAACGGCGGGGGAAAAGAAAAAAGAGCCATACATGGTGGGAGAAGAAGGTATAGATAGATGGAGAATGGAGAAGACAAATATAATTAATTTTAATAATTATTGTGTAGAAAGGAGAGTGTGTGTGACAGATAGAGAGGGAGGGGAATAGGTGAAGAAGATGTGGCAGTGAGGAGTTATTGCTGAGCCTATTGAGAAGATGAAAGAGCATTTATGGCGGGGCTGGAGGTGTTTAATATACTGCATCGACGAGGGATCCATATGAGGCTATTATAAGGGTAAAATAGTCGATTGTATTATTGGTGATGAAAGTTTATCTATAAAATGCTTAGAGAATTACTGAATATTACAAGATTTTGATAATTTAATTGGTTATAGTTAATTAACATATAGTATGTCATTAATGATATATATTTATAAGTTTATCCATTCGACTATAATTTTAGTTTGTTGAGATAAATTAAATACTTTTCAAAATTACATTTTTATTTTCCTATAATTAAAGTATTACTCCGTATAAATTTAATTTATTTATTACATACGTGTTTTTATTAGTGCACCTGTTTGAGCTGAGTATAATATTTTCTCAGGTTTTTTATTTTCATTTTAATGTTTTTCAAAATTATACTCCAAACTAATTTAAATATAATAATAATAATGACATAACAATAAAAAATGACCAAAATAGAATTAAAAGAATTTGAATGTAAAAAATATAAGGAAAAAAACTAGGTGTACGCCCTTTTGGTGTACACTTTTTGTACACCCCTTATTTTTGTTGACGCACACATAGGTAATTCGTAACAAAAAATGCAATTCGTCTATGAACTTCCCCACAAATAGAAAGGTGTACAAAAGGTATACCCCAATAGTGTACACCAAAAATGACCCACATATACGTAATATATTTTTATTAACTAATTATAGGAATAATTAGTCTCACGCTGGGGAAATGGTGCCAATTATGATAGTAATAATTCCATATTAAAGTCTGGTAATTAATTCAGAAATATGACAGTAAAATTCATATTGATGGTAAGTTACGTCTATTTAGGAGGAAATGTAATGTTCTTATTTTGATATTTAACATTATTTTTTATTCTATTTCTAAAAAATCCATAAAGATAGTGATAGATCTTTGTTATGATTATTGTACTCCCTACGTCCCGTTAGAAGGTTCTCACTTTCCTTTTTTGGACGTCCCGTTAGAAGGTTCTCATTTTCATTTTAGGAAACAATTAATAATCTTAAGTGACAAATTAGTCATTAAATATTATATATAATACATTTATTACATCACAGTTATCAAAACTAACACATTATAATATATACCTACTAAAATTATTTCTCAAAATATACTCGAAGTACTTTATTTAATTATCACCTAAATAAGCGTGCCGTTTTGCTATGAGAACCTTCTAGCGGGACGGAGGTAGTAATAATTACTTCATAATTACTATCTTATACTTATGTGATCATAAAATAGTTGCGAAATGAATAGAATTAGAGGGTTATTCGAGTGTGGTAGATAATAAAATCAATTTAAAAGGTTATTTAAAGTGATGTTTTGGATGTTTATTATTTCACATAAAATTAGCTAAATTCGAAAAATTTCAACCAAACAGTCAAACACTAATTACTTGTTTACTTCAAATATTAGCTAGTAAACGTTGTTTATTATTTATTTTTGGCAAAGTAAGTGTCGTTTATTAAAATATGTTTTAGTTTAGCACTCCCTCCTATACTAATTTATCCCGGAGTAAACATGCACATGTGTATTAAGCATACACTTGTTAAGACATAACAAGTGTGTACTAAGTAACACTTTAAGACATAACAAGTGTTTACTAAGTAACACTTTAAGACATAACATGTTTACTAATAAATTAACTCGTGTATTAGTAAGCTAATGGTAAAACTGACAGTGAAGTAAGTATGTCCTAATAGCAACAATTTGATCAATATGAATCTATAGAAGTCAAAAGAAATTAGAGTAAAATGTGTGATAGGGCATTCCCCGATTACACCCTCACTTAAAATGCAAGGTTATTCTCTTTTTGTTGTAGGTCTGTACGTAGTCTGTATACAAGGCCGGTTTTGTGCAAGGGCGAGAGCTTATATCAATTGCTTGGTGTTTTGTTTTCTATCAGGAAATAGGGGCCCTTATAGAAATTCATTCGTCGGTGGATTTGTAAATGAATCAAAAAAATATTTCAATTTGTAATCCGAATTTGAATGTGCATATTTGTTAGTGAGTAAACAGAGTGATTGAAAAAGAAATTGTTTCTAATACGGGTAAAACATAAACAAAATTCAAAAATATGATTAAATATAATACATATTTTAATCCCCGGCCAAAAGGCTATACTTAAGATGTTTTTACTTGGATTGTAATTTGCTGGTCTGATCTGGTCTGGTCTGAACTGCTCTGGTCTGGTCTGGTCTCTTTGTATTCTTATAACTATCCAAGTCTGGTCTGGTCTGGTCTGATCTGGTCTGGTCTGATCTGGTCTAGTCTGGTCAGGTCTGGGACAAATTACGGTCCAAGTAAAAACATCTTTATTCTCATTAGAAAAAATGATTAAAACATTTCAAAATACGAGTGAATGATCGGGTCTTATATTGCAAATGAAATAATGATGGTCCTATTTGTTAACTTTGTCATTAATTTTGTATGACCCCCCACTTGGTATGACCCCACATATTGGGGTAATTTTGGAGGATCTAGCTCTAGGGGAGATGGACATGGTGGTAGTGGCTATAGTGGAGCTAGCGGCGATTTTGGAGGACGCTATGGTGGAGCTAGCGGCGATTTTGGAGGAGGCTATGATGGAAGTTATGACGGCGATGAACACTAGGGACAGTGTTCCAACTAGTCCGAGGGGAGAGATGATCATGGTATATATGCTCACATTCATACTCTTCATGCTTGTTTTTACTTTTAAAATCACAAAAAAAGAACAACAAAACTATAAAAAAAAAAACTTGTTAGGTTGAAAACTCCAAAAAAGGACAACTTAAGCAAAACAAAAGCAAAAATAAGAGTGACTTTGTGAGGATAAAAAGAAAAAGTGGGAAAATGGGATGAAAATCTGAAAGGGCACCTAGGCAAAATGAGAGAATGAGAGAAAATATTTTGTTTTTGCAGGGCTCTAAAGGATGACATGAGGAGGAAAGAGATGAATTGAAATGGAGTTGAAAACCACCCTTTTTTATTTTATTTTTTATCATGAAAACATTTAATGTTGATTGTCAAAATATTTGTGAATAGTTGTGTTTACTACTCTTTTGAGATTGAGGACTTCATGGACAGGATTTGTTTTACTCGAGACGAGTAAAAGTTCAAGTGCGGGGGTGTTTGATGTGCACTAATTGTTAGTGCATAAGTTTACATTTTTATATTTGTTTGTGACGTTTGTTTACCATTTTGTGGAAGTTTTTAGCCATTAGTGTGATTTGATTGTAATTGTACGTATTTTTAGCATTTAATTGTTTGTTGTAGGAAGTAGTTAGTTGGGCTATAAGTTTAGGAGAAGTTTGGAAGCAAAAAGGATGAAGAAACCCGAGTTTAAATTAGTGCAAAACCCGGTCGGGTATGAAGCGAAAGAGGAATCTGCTACGAAACTAACAAATACCCGGTCGGGTATTCCATATACCTGGTCGGGTATGAAGTGATTTCGGGAAAAAGACGTGCGCAAAAACACAAAGACGTGCGAAAAGATATTATTTGACAAATACCCGTCGGGTATCTCAAATACTCGGTTGGGTATCCGGCATAGTTGATGCTAAACACCTATAAGTAGCACCATTTACCTTCACTTTTAATCATCCCTTCTTCCATATACTTAAGCTCAACTTAGAATAGTATTTTCTTTATATTTTTCTAGAATTGTTTAGTCTCCAAATGAGGGACTAAACTTTCATTTCTTGGTTTTGCTCTTGAAGCTTGTTGAATGTTAAAGTTGTAAGTTGTTTTCTTAACTTCTTCTCAATATTAATTCTTCCCTTAATCTTAAATACGTATTAATGTTGGGTTATTGCTGAGTGACGATTAGTTAACGCTTCAACATTAATTATTACTAGAAACGATCAACAAACCGATGGTTAATCGTTGATGGTTTCACATGTAAGTAACTTCGTATTATTAATGCATAGTCGTGGTTAATAAACTTAAGAGGGATTAATTGTGTTGGTTAAACCAAAACCATTGTGTTAAGGTTATCAATCTCAGTTGATTTCATCAAGGAGTTAAAAAGATTAAATGTCACTATTAAGTCGGTATACGACGTTGTTCTATATTTGACTAATAGTAAAGGTTGTTAATGAATAATCGTTATTAATAACTACCTTCAATAGATTGGAGATACTCCCCGATTGAGTATTCGAGAGGGGATAAGTTAAAGATATAACCGGGATCAACTAAATCTATCAACAAGTGGAAAGTAGCAAAGCCAAGTCCTTTTATCTTGAATTAAAACACATATAAGTCATTCATTTTAATGTTTGATTATATTAAATCACACAATCCCAAAACTCCCCTTCTTATTACTAGTTCATTGAAAGAAAATTATTCCTTTCCCTGTAGGTACGAACTCTACTACACTATACTACACATAAGTGTTTGTATTGAATTTATTTTGAGGCACATACGACTTTAGTGCCATCAGCAACAACACAACCAGTGAAAATGGGCAGGGGATGGGAAAGGGGTAGTGGCAGTTGTTGGTAATAGTCTAGTGATATCACTAATTTAGTGACATTAATTTAGTGTCACTGAAACTTTCTGTGACACTAAAAAAGTGTCGGGGAAAGTGTCGGCTAATGACACTAAATTAATATAGTGTCACTGATCATAAAACATAATAGTGTCAGAAAATTGTGACACATTAATGTATTACAAAATTATGACACATTGGTATCAAAAACGTTTGTGACACGTTGGTATCATAAATATGACAATAATATTATAATAATCATTATATTATTTGTTATTGATTCTATGAAATATTTTAGAAATAATAATAAATAATCCAAATAAAAGATCAACAATCTTTTATTGCTCAAATTATTTGACAATGTCAATATCTATAAAATGTATTACAATATGCCATAAATCTACTCTTCAACCATACAACATTTTTATTTGTACACACTAGAAATCATTATTCCGAACATCACAATCGGCATCCAATAAAGCAAGTCTTTATCAATTTGTG